CAAAGGCCTGGTACACAGCAGGCAAAAACACAAAGCCTTTTGTGAAGTCCCTTTGAGACTTTTGAGAAGTCTGTATCTTTGAAGAGTGCCTAGATAACTATGAAAAATAAGAGTAACAGATGTTCAGCACCATAATAGTGGTACCCACTGGTCCCCAGGAGTGTGCAAAGGAGGCCAACATCATTTCAAATGAGGTCATCTAGCAAGACTGGCCACCAGGAGTGTGCAAAGGAGGTCAGCATCATTTCAAATGAGGTCATCTAGCACGATGTCTAGGAACAGACAGGATGTGAGTTGGGGTTTGCAGTGGACAGAGATGAGAGGTTGAAGTAGGAGTTCCAGAGGAAGGAAAGGTCCAGACAGAAGGCTACAGTAGAAAAGAGAAAGGCAATTTGTGGAGTGGAGGTGGTAAGGTCAGATGCACTGACCTAGGTGGTCCATTTAGGGAACAGAGGACAGAAGTCAGTGTTACTATTGGAACACCCTATGAGCAAGCTAAGGCAGCTGGCAGGTCCAGAGGCAAAGCAGGTAGACACAAGCCGGAGGCATCATTGGTGCTGGAGTTTGGTATTGGGGCACAAGTATATACTGGACATAGGATCAATCCCATTTGTTTGGTACCCACGGCCAATAGTCACAATAAGCTATCTAACAGATTCAAGAAGAGTCCAGTGATGTAGAGTTCTTATGGGTGAAAAATCTACAGGAAAGTCACATGAGCATCTGCACAGCTCAGCCTCAGTTCTCTAGACCAGTTGGCAACCCACCTCCTTCTCAGGTTCCTTTTCTTTTCCCTTGCACCTGAGCTCCCCGTGGAAACACACCTTGATGACCCAACAGAATGCTTTTTTCTGCTCTAATGTTGGCTTCCCAGCAGAAAAGCTTGCGCAGCTCCATCGGGGCTGTAATTTCATTGGTGCACATTCCCTTGCATAGTTTTCCTCCTTCCTTCAAATCGCTGGTCACAGGAAGTGATCCTGCTGCTTTTCTGCCCACAGATGGAATGAGAACTAGTGGACAGCAGCATTGTCAAAGGCACGGTGCTGACGGGTTCGGTACAGTCAGACTAGTCCCAGCCGGTGGATGTTTGAGTGCTTGGGGGCCGGAGAGATGCTCGGGGGTAAAATGTTTGCTGTGGATGCATGCGGACCTGAGCTGGGTCCCCAGCACACTCAGAAAAACCCGTGTGCAGAGGTGTCTTCCTGTAATCCCAGCACTGGGGAGACCCAGGCAGGCAGATCCCTGGAGCCCCTGGCCAGCCAGTCTAACTCAGTCAGTGAGCCACCCCCACCATTCAATGAGAGAATTCAAAACATAATCTGGGGATGGAGATATGGCTCAGAGTTAAGAACACTGGCAGCTCTTCTAGAGGGTCTAGGCAATTTCCAGCACCCATATGGTGGCTCAAAACCATCTATAACTCCAGTCCCAGGAGATCTAATACCTTATTCTGGCTTGTACAGGCACTAGGAACACTCATATACATACAGGCAAAACATCCACAAACATGAAATAAAAATAAGTTTTAAAAATAAATTAAAATCCCTCCTTATAATTGTCATCACTCTCTAGAAAGCAACTGAACAAGAGACCTGATATCAACCTCTGGCTTCTACATGTGCACACATGCATGTGACATACACCAACACATGTGTACACACACACACACACAAGCACATATATACACAAAAATATATTATTTCTGAGATGTTCCTACATGTATGTATATATGTGTGCGTGTGCATGTGTGTGTGTGTGTGTGTGTGTGTGTGTGTGTGTGTGTGTGTGTGTAATATCAGTACTTTCTCCTCAGAGCTCTCTACTGTGTTGCTATGCTCATTTTAGCAGCTTGTCTTCCTGACAGGCTTGTGAAGAGAACCAGGAGGCAAGAGTGGCCTCCTGATCAGGGCAAGAAGGGATTATCCAAGCCAGCAAGATCCTCTGGATGCAGGGAACAGTGGCCCCCAAAATAGGCCTGATGCACATTTTCCCTCAGCTCAGGCAATGATAGAAAGCAGGAAAGGAATTGTACACATCATCACTCCATCTATCCCATCTATGTCCAAAAAGCCAGGGATTGGTTATCCCAGAATATCACCATTCACTATGAAAACATGGCAGAAACCAGATTCCATCCATTTGCTACCACCAAAACAATAAAATGAAAAAAGCCCAGATGGACCTAACTTCAAAGAGGTCAGCACTGCCCACGTTTTCTGTGAACACACACATTCTCAGAATCCTTCCCCAGGCTTGTGGGGACAGGTTACCCCTGTGGCTCCTGATATACTGGCAACTTGAGGGCAAGAGTTATCTGCTGCCCTGTGAGGTGTGACCACTAACAGGGTGTAGCAGGGAAGGTGGCTCCTGCAGTGCCCCAAGCTGAAGTTGCTCATTGACAGCCTGGCATCCTCAGGGGGACCCAGTCTAACCTCTGCAGAAAGACAGATCCTCTAGTCCTACCTGGCTCTGGATCCAGACATGAGGGGTGAGGCCTAGAAATCTGGAGCACAGAGTCTTGCCTCAGGCAAAGGGCACTGTTGGTGTGACTACTCCACAGAGCCTTACCTCTGACAGTGGGCACTGATGGTGTGACTACTCTATAGAGCCTTACCTCTGACAGTGGGCACTGATGGTGTGACTACTCTATAGAGCCTTACCTCTGACAGTGGGCACTGAAGGTGTGACTACTCCACAGAGCCTTACCTCTGACAGTGGGCACTGAGGGTGTGACTACTCCATAGAGCCTTACCTCTGACAGTGGGCACTGAAGGTGTGACTACTCCATAGAGCCTTACCTCTGACAGTGGGCACTGACGGTGTGACTACTCCACAGAGCCTTACCTCTGACAGTGGGCACTGAGGGTGTGACTACTCCATAGAGCCTTGCCTTGGGCAGGGGGCACTGTTGGTGTGACTACTCCACAGAGTCCTGTCTCTGGCTGTGGGCAATATTGGTGTGACTACTCCACAGAGCCTTGCCTCGGGCAAAGGGCAATGATGGTGTGACTACTCCACAGAGCCTTACCTCTGACAGTGGGCACTGATGGTGTGACTACTCCACAGAGTCCTGTCTCTGGCTGTGGGCACTGTTGGTGTGACTACCCCAGAGAGCCTTACCTCTGACAGTGGGCACTGACGGTGTGACTACTCCATAGAGCCTTACCTGGGGCAGAGGGCACTGTTGGTGTGACTACTCCACAGAGCCTTGCCTCGGGCAAAGGGCAATGATGGTGTGACTACTCCATAGAGCCTTGCCTCTGACAGTGGGCACTGATGGTGTGACTACTCCATAGAGCCTTACCTCTGACAGTGGGCACTGATGGTGTGACTACTCCACAGAGCCTTACCTCTGACAGTGGGCACTGATGGTGTGACTACTCCACAGAGCCTTGTCTCTGACAGTGGGCACTGAAGGTGTGACTACTCCACAGAGCCTTACCTCTGACAGTGGGCACTGAGGGTGTGACTACTCCACAGAGCCTTACCTCTGACAGTGGGCACTGATGGTGTGACTACTCCATAGAGCCTTACCTCTGACAGTGGGCACTGA